GCGCCGCTGCTAATGACGTGTCCCCACAGGAACTTTGATGGGCAAGGACTTTGAATTTTAACTGTATAGAGGCCGTGGAGCTGAGTTGAAGTATGTAGTATTATATGAAAAAAGTGAAAACCAACTTAGTGATGAAGAAAAGACGAAAAAGACGCGGATGCGCCTTCTTTCGTCTTTTTGAATAATTAGTGTGGATATTGTATTACAGGAATGAGATTAGAGCGAAGTTCTACAACAGTTTTCTATTGAAGAATATAACACGACGTTAACAAATTCTCATGAGCGTCTCACTACTTTATGGATAACGCATACTCGAAATGCAATTGAGCGCGAAGCAAAACAAGGTCTCAGTTCGATCTTGATGCTAACACTAACCTAGACTTGTCTTGCCCATAGCCTCTTATTTTGTCTTCAATAGCCCTTTGCTCAGCAAATTCAATTGAACTTCTCAGCTGAAATCTGTTTCGTCTTTTATTTCCATTCGTAGCCTTCGGCGGCCATTGGTATCGATTCTCTGCTAGCGTAGATCACGTACGACCCTCAATACGAGATTCTGAGGTCGTCAATACAGGTCTTGTATTTTTGCTTCACTCTTTATTCTGAAATGGATACTCCTACCCATATACTTGTTAAAGAGACTACACGATCATGCCTATCTATCTCTCTGCTCTCTCCCGTGTCGAGTCCGGTCGGTCTAGAGGAATTGATGCGTCAAGTCAAAAAATCAGCCGCCGGTCCTGATTTCTTCAAAAGTCTTCTCAGCACTCTTGTAAATGAACTGAGTGTCATGAAAACAGAGCGTGACCGTCTTTTTGTCAGGAGAATGCAATGCTTCGTGGGAAACTTACAATTCTAATGTTAAATTACATAACCATGCTGGGCCTACTACTAAGCCTAGAGCTGTGCAATCTCCTTTCTCTGGATGCCGAATCTGAAAGGAGTAGATTCGTAGTGATAGCTGATGTTCCCGAGTTGAAGGAGCACACTAAGGAAAATTTGTTTTATGATTTTATTAGTGTCCTTAATGTACAAGGTCATCTGGGAGTTGAATGCGTTCTTATTTTGAAGTATACATTAGGACGGCCTAACCTAGGAAAACGAATTACTCGAGGTGGTTTTACACTCTTCATATTTCCAACGTATGGCAGTGAAGAGCTCCTTCCGGTTTCGCTTTCTCCCCGAAAGAGGCGTCTACTATATGGAGTCGCTCTCCATTAAGGAGAGATAGCGACGAAGAGAAGGACGCTTGCACTGTCCAGAAGTCATTCATTCACATGATGCTTCATGTTCTACGTCACAAACTATGTCTGCTTCAAAAGGGAACTGAGATACCCATTTCGGTTTCATATTTCTCGCAATGTTGGAGAAAATTCTCAATTCCAGTCTCGATTTCTTTCGCCTGTCTACCTTTGACTGTAATAACAGGTCTCAACCCGAAAACGGAAGTTTTCTTGGTCGTATCAGTGCTAATAAATATGACTCGTATCTTTTTAGTAATACGTGGTGAAAAGGTCACCATTCTGTGAGTCTGTGCTCAGTTATTGGATAGGTGAGTTCGCTGTGTTGAGGTGCGAAGAAGGCACAGAGCCGGCTGTGGAATATCATGATAATCAGCAACACGCTTAGTCATACAACCATATTATCAGAGTCGCTTCCAAAAGGGTATGGCAGACATCTCTTCTGCCGAATTTCAGTTCAGGATTGTCTTGTTTTACAGACCTCCCCCTCCACTCCTTCCGTTTCCAAGCAATTGGCAAAAACAGTCGGTGTTTCTTCTACTGTATCGTATTGAGTCGGTAGTAGGTGATTTCAACATGCCTGAGGTCGATTGGGCTGATTGGAATTTTTGGAAGGAAAGTCCTTATGCACCAGAGTTACATCTTCTCTTCATGGTCTTCAGCAGTATATAAAAGAGCCCATGCAACTCTATTCAGGATTTATCTTTCTCGAATGATCATGAACTTTCAAGCAAAATACCTATTGTCAGTGACCATTTCAGTATCTTTCGAGATTGATAGAATCATGCTGCCCTCCATGCCAATTTTGAAAAGGCTCCCACAAACTGTGATTATATAATACTGGCATTATAAATTATGCTTTCAACATTTTGTGGATCAAATCTTCTGAACCAGTAACTACGGTGACGAGAAATGTGTTATATTTCTCTGTATATTCCAAGTTGCTATAGAACAAAATACTACCTGGGCTGACGGTTTCCAAAACAAGTCCAATCTACCTGTCTACCTCCAGATCATGGAATATTACTTTTGAAAGACACTGACAAGGCCAATGCATTCGCATCTGAGTTTCAGAAATTACTTCCAAACGATGACGATAGGCCATTTGCAAAATTAACTTTTCACACAATGGATACTTTTCCTTATTTTGATCTCAATGACATCTATGATGCCTTGATTAAATGGTCTGCTTCTTTCTTTGTTACCCCAAATCATACCCCACTTGTATTTCTCAAAAACGTAGCCCATGCTCTTGCGTTCCCTCTTCCATATTTTTATCCAGTCAATCGATGATGTTTTGGGAAACAATTTCCTAAACTCGGAAACATTCATAGATAATCCTAGTCTGAAATATTTTCGGATATCTCCAATTACAGGCCGTAAGTATCACCTCATTGTTCTGTTTGGTAAATACTCAAACGTCACATCCTCCGCCATTTTAAGCAGAACAAAACAAATTTTCTCCTTCCGACATGGGTTCGTCAAGGATAAATCTGTAACCATTGACGCTGCTGCTGCCAATCTGCTCGAGCCATTCAATGATTGGACATTTGCGTTGGACAACCATAAATGTGTCGATGTAACGCATTTCGATTTCACTAAGACTTTTGATAAGGTAAGTCACAGTAAGTTCTTACACGAACGCAGTAAGCTGGGATCTGATGAAAAGGTTCCGAGATGGTTTAGAGAGTTTCTCAAAGATAGGACCTTCCGAGTGTGCATAAATGCCTCAAATTTTGAAGTTTTTCGCCTTTGCAGTGGGATTGCACAAGACGGGGTACTGTTTCCTATATTTTCCAATATTTACTCTGCCGCATTTTTTTAGCTTTTCAAATGGCGTCGTAACTGTCAGACGTACGCTGATGACCTCAAACTCTGTTAAGTAATCGATTCCCCTCAAAACTCGGTATTACTACAGAATTCCATTAATGTGCTTGTCCAATGATCGAATGATTGGCAGATATCTATCTCTCCGAGCAAAGGTGTTACAGGCGCACAGGCACTCCTGCTCCTCAATATTCTGCATATTTCATAAATGGTCAAGAGATCTAAAAGGTTGAAAAGGTTAAAGATTTGGTTATTTATATGACAACAAACTTGATTTTTCCGATTACTACAAGGAGGTGCACAAAAAAGCATTTTGCTGTACTTATAAGATATTCAAGGCTTTCACGACCAATGACAGCACTCATTCGCCTGTATACGACTTATATGTATACGACCATTAATAGGGAACGGAACCGTTTTATTTCCCCCACATAAAAATAAGGACTTGGCTCTCATGGAAAAAGTCTGGAAAAACTTTACTAGGGGAGCCCTCTTGCGTCGTGGCGGTTTCTTATCGTCCAGACTCCCACGACAAACAAATATTTCCAGATTCCTCCCTTGCATTACAGACGAGACTTTGCATAGATTTCTTACTTTCAAAGCTGTTAACGATTTTTTTCGACTCTATGATCTCATATCACCTGAAACCACGGGAAGAGAACTCTAATTATCGTTTCATAAGCCTAAAACCACAGTTAGATTTTGTTTACTATTAAAGCTGGACTACTTTTTGCGTACCAGTGAATTAACATCCATCTGGTGCTTTATTCAAACGGTCCGTAGCAAAGTTTACACTAAGAGCAGCGGCGTGAAGTGTCGTCATCTATCTGTTTGTTAGGAATTATTGTAGGTTTTCACCTGTGATTATTTCGTATTTACCAATTTAGCATATAACGCTTTTCTCGCGCTGCCTCATATAACGTATGGAATAAATGAGTTCAAATGTGATGCTATTACGATGTGATTGAAAAGTTTTTTCTGAAAGCTGGGTTTCTGTACCAGAATTATGTTTTTGGCCTTCTAGCTAATTTCGCCATGAATCACTCGAACGAAAGGATTATTCACCCACCAAAATATACTTCATATTCTTTCATTTTCTAAGAAATATCACTTAATCATAAAAGAGCCTGAATTCCTTTGTGGAGTATATAAGCCTTCCTGTTTGATGTAATTTTATTGCCTTTGCATGCCTCAATAAAGGCTTCACCATATCAAGCTGCGTCCGTCGACAGTACAGAGAGTGGCGACCACAGACAGAAGGCCAAGGACCGACTCGTCTCATTCAACGCGCAGCTCTTCTTCGTCAAAAAAGACGAATCTTCCTCGCGGCTACTGCCCAACCACCCGACACGATCATCAACCCCCTTCTTAGCGGCTTCTGAACATCCACTCTACTCCTGTCATCACTCCCGTCGACAACGGCTCAATAAACGGCATCTTCCATCGTCACCGACCACTCATCTCATCACATCGACGATCGCTAACAACAAAGCTAACGACTCCGTACCTGTACCACAAACAACTGCTCACCAACGCCTGCAACTTTCTGCCAGCGACGATCGCTCATCGCCAAGTCCCCAAACGTAATTGCCTACCGAATCAAGGAAACCAAGCAGTGTACGATCAACGATCCACTTTACATCAACACCGACGACGATGTCATCCAACGACAGCTCGCAAATACGTTGCCAAATTGGATTGTTCTAGAAGCAGTTACAAAGGTACGAATCATCAATCACAGCTACATTTGAGGAGTACCGAATAAAAATCGAACAACACGACTTCCGTCATCTGGACAACGATGAACTCGAGTCGTTTCGCAATGAGTTCGTCCCGCTAAGAAGAAGCCTTCTGAAAGCCTATCAGAAAATAACGAAACTACATGATGAATAGGCACGCTCCAAGATTCCAAAGAAGGTGAAGAAGCAATTTTCAATGACTATATGTATATCTCAATACGGTGACTATCGTGAATCAATTACTACTTCGGTGAATCGCCTGGAAAGCCTAGACACGTTGCTGAATGCAATCGATCAAGAATACTTCAAACGGAACTTGAATGTTCCTTCCGATATCTCTGAGGCTACCTCACTGGATGAATGTGGTGGCGAAGCAGCACCAACAAAAGGACCAACCCTGCATCGTGGTAGTCAACCGCCGCCGTCACATCATCCCCCAGCTCCACAATTTTCGAGAGACTCTTCCTTGCTCAACTTCGTCGACGCCTCCATATTAACCAAAATGGAACTCCCTACATTCGATGGCAACCTCCTCGAATACCCTGAGTTTGCATCACGATTCGCCACACTGGTTGGCAACAAAACTCAGTTGGACAACACAACTAAACTCTCTCTACTCAAGTCATGCTTACGAGGCCGTGCGCTGCAATCAATTCAAGGACTGTCGATCGATCACTATTCCACGTCTGGAGTTATCAGCCATGGCTGCAGGTGCCAATCTACTTTCGTTCCTTACAGAGCAACTCGATATCCAGCTTCGCCGAAAATATGTTTGGTCTGACAGTGCCGTTGCACTAGCGTGGACTATGACAAACAAAACCCTTCCAGTATTCGTTCGCAACCGTGTCCGTAAAATTCGTGAACTCACGACCGACGTCACTATCCGCTACGTTCCAACAACGGAAAACCCACCGGATATCGGCTGCCGCGGTACATCTGTCACAGAACTACAAAATTTGGCTCACTGGTGGAACGGACCTACCTTTTTAACAGAGGATGAAACAACTTGGCCTCGAAGCTCAGATCAAGAAACTTCAGTTGAAATCCTTCGCTTCAAGAAAGCGAAAAACAAACTTTCATCTCATCAGTAGCAGCA